CTGAGGGATAGTAGTGGTTACAGATCCCCCCACCAACTACCCAAAGTGGGGTACAGGACACACAAAATCACCTTCTGTGAGACTGGTAATTGACTGTCCTTGTGTTTCTGTAGCCAAACACCACCCTCCATTTTGCTGCTTATGAGATCCAAGGAACACTTTTACCACCATCCTCAACACCCACCATTGACAAAGGAGCAGCAGGTTCTTGCTTGACAATTAAAACACAAGCTTACAGCCTCTCTGGTACCCTTCTTTAGTCTGTTCCCTCTATTACCATCATTCAGGAAAGGTATGTAACAAGTTGCCCTGACCCAGTCCTACCAAGGCAGGAACACACTGCAAGGGAAGAGAAGGATCTTGATGCTTATTAAATATCCTTCTCCAAACCTCCATCTGATTATAAAGTCCTGGCACATTCAATTGAAGAAAACCTTTTGGGGGACACAGCAAACTATAGATAACTCACGGTTTAATAAGCACAAGCTGGAAAATGAACAGCAGTGAAGGCAGGTTTGTTACTGCCACAGCAGCATGGGCAGACAGAAGCACCATCAGTGCCTGATTTTCTCTTTGCTGTGATTAAAAAAGTCGATAGGCTGGAAAGTGGACCTGAAAGAGGAAGCACAGAGCTCCAGCATACTTCTGCATCATCCTAAAATGGTCTCAGTCCTGCTCCCATTTCACAATCACCTTGGCAGGTCCATCACAACATGGAGGGCAGTACATGGCCTGGGCATTCATCTTGCTGGTGCCACACAATTGTGATGTGACACCTCAGTGAGCCAGCTCCTAGGTCATCCCACAAGCCCTCTGTATTGTTCTGGCAATGTCAAGTGGCTACACCCCAGTTCCTGAGCTGAAGAGGAGAAGGGATCTCAAGTCTACAGAGATCTGGGACCCACTCTACTCCTTCTTGGACCCACATGTTGCAAGTACGGGCACCAAAGCACTCTGTGCAGAAGGGGCAGTGGTTGTGTGGATACCTAGGGCACACCAACTTGTCTGCTTATGCTCCACATCCATCCTGGCCAGGAGACCACTGTGGTTGCACCCCAGTTTGCCATCACTGCTTTTCTTCTCCTCTGAAGAACTCTGCACCTTGTCAGTACAAGAGCCATTTGCAGCAGGAAAGACCTGGCTCCTGACTAGGTCTCACGAGAGTTTCAACAGCTGTTTGGTACCTGGTTCCCAGAGCGGCTGATGTTTTCCTGGGAGGAGGCTCTGTTCCTGCGTTTCATGTGATGGGGTGGGTGGGCAGGGAACTGGTCTCCCTTCATGTCCTCATCAGAGGTGTCCATATCTGCAGAGTACCGGGACTGGGATGGCTCATTCCAGGTGTTGCCTTTGGAGAGAGAAGGCTTCAGCACAAAGGTACAAGGGATTCCCACCCTTAAGTTCCTTTCTGGACATCAGCCCCATCCTTAAGACAAGCAAATAATGAGCCACTTCTCCAGATCACACTGTCTATCCTTTCTTTGGCAGAAGATGCTTCTGCAAGAGAGACCAAGTTTAAGGATGGATAAGCTGGACTAGGCTGAAGCTCCACATGCTGTGGCCACACAGCACTGATGTCAGCAGGGTCCCACACAGCGGTGGGTACAAGGAGCATCATCTCTGCTCTCATGCCCTGAACAGCCAGGCCCCTCACCAAAACCCACTATTGCCTTCCCAATTTTGTGGGAGCCCAGGTTTGGACACTGCCAGAGTACTGGAAGGTGTTTAGCTCAGGCTAGAGAGGTACCAGCCCAGGATGGAGCATCTAAAAAGAGTGGACAGTCTCCTTTGTAAAGGAGAATTTCAAATGAGACAAAAATAATGAAAGAAAATGGAATTAAAAAGCATGGGGATCCTGCTGCTCTGTTGCTCCAGCAGGACTTGGAGTGGGAATTTAAACACCACACAGTGAGGACTGCCCAGTGTTCCCTAATGCCTTGAATATATAGCCAAGCAGTTGGAGACCCAGAAGAATCTATTTTACATTTGCATGTGCACAAGCCAGTATCAAACCCTCCTGGCTTTGCTGTCACAGATGGGAAAACAGAAGTAGTAAAAGGAAATTCTGCATCTTACAGAGTATTTATAGACTAACAAAACCATGGATCATTTAGCCTGCCTATGCACTCTGCCCAGCTACGAGGATGCTACTTAGCAACCCTCAGTTCTTGCCTCCAATTCTAGTTTAGGTGCCCTTAAAACTCAAAACTTTCTGCACCCACAACATCCTTTGCCAAGGAGTTGAACTCTTCTATCTCTGCCTGCCTGCAGGAGGAAACACATCCCATTGTTTCTAGTAATGCCCACTTGATAGTATCTAGTTTCCACTCTGGACAGGACCAGTAGTATGGATATTTTGTCTTGACCCTCAAGTCTTTTAGATGTTGTTCAGACAAAAAACAAGGACATGTTCATTTTTGTGCAACTCTTGCAGCCATTTGTCCCAAAAAGGATACAAGAGGGGCCTGGAGATGGACACCTACTAGGTTTTGGATTTCTTTCCAGGCTCCTTCTCCGTGAATTGACGGTGAGCCGAACCTCTGTGCTGAAGTGCTGCTCTGGACGGCTCACACCTGGTCCTTGTTCTTGCAGGACGTGATGGAAGACCACATCTGCATCTGCAATCCTGGAGTCCTGGGAGGCATCTTCAGCTGAGTTGGGGAAATCTGAGAAGGACTGAGAGATGAGAATGCTGCTGAGCAGCTGCCAGTGAAGACTCCGCTTGTGGACCCCGACCTGGAGTGCTGCTTCCAGCCCTGGAGCCCCCAACACAAAAAGGACATGGAGCTGAGTAGGACAGGAACATGCTGAAAGGGCTGGAGCCCCTCAGCTAAGGAGTCAGCCTGAGAGAGTTGGAAAAGAGAAGGCTTCAGGGAGACCTCAGAGCCCCTTCCAGTGCATAAAGACACTCCAAGAGAGCTGGAGTGGGACTTTGGACAAGGGTGTGTAGTGACAGGGCAAGGGGCAATGGCTTCACATTGACAGAGGACTGGGATAGATGGGATATTGGGAAGAAATTCTTGGCTGTGAATGTGGTGAGGCACTGGCACAGGTTTCCCAGAGAAGCTGTGGTTTCTCCATCCCTGGAAGTGTTCAAGGCTAGGTTGGACAGGGCTTGGAGCAATCTAGTCTAGTGGAAGGTGTCCCTACCCATGGCAGGGGTTAGAATGAGATGGTCTTTAAGGTCCCTTCTACCCAAACTCTTCTATGATTCTATGAATTCTTGTCTCTCCTGACCCTCATTAGGAGCTCAAAGCGTTGTCCTTCAATATATGCATGGATTGACCTTATATGGTGCCAATTACATTTTGTAAAATATAAAAATCCCTAAGAATCCAATTTCAAGATTTTACCTTGCTGCTGAACTCTGAGCAATACTTCTCATCACTGCCAGGGGGCACTGGTAATTCTTACAAGCACTCATTATTGTTACAATCATTAGGCACAGAGTCCCTTCAGCCAGACTGGAAACCCCTCCGATCTTTAAAAACACCATCCCCTTCTGCTTTTTCAGGCAGCAGCCACTTCAAGTAACCTGCAATCGGTAAACCTACTTAGGATGATTTCAACAGCGACCAGCCCTTATGTTGCATTCTGCTGCATAAAGACAGGCTCAGGTAAAGAAAGAAGGAATCTACTTGTTTTCCCCAAATTCTAATCAATTAGTGTGGAATTGTGCAGATTTTTTTAAAGACTTTGTTACAGATCTCAGCACATCCAACTTCAGCCCATGAAGGAAGAAGGAGCCGTTGAATGTTTTAAAAGTGCAAGTTCAACATGAAAGGTAAACAAGAGCAGTCCAAAAATCTTGACCTGAACCCTTTCAGGCTGGAAGACCTCTTGCCACATCCAGGGCTGCCCCATCTGTTTTCCTCCCCAGAGTTGGAAGGTGAGGATAGCTGAGCCCCACCCTGCATGGAGTGCAGCCCACTGCTGCTTGGCCTGGAACTGTCAGTGAGTTTTGCTCCAGGTCTAGAGCTCCAGATACTGAGGCACATCCAGTCTCCTCTCTTGAAGTAACCACTGTTCATGCAGTTTTTGTTCTCCCCATGTTCTTCCCTCTGACTGGCTCCCACTCCACAGGTGCCATCATGGCTATCACACTGACTCTGTGGGATTCACCTTGTTGGTCTCACAAAGGTCATGTGCCCCATGAAGCTGCTGGCCAGCTATGTCCTCAGTGCCATCACATGGAAAAAACAGCCCCAAACTAGATGGAAACATGGGAGAAGAGTTCAATTTAATGTAATCCCTTTGAATACTGAACCTCCAAAAGCTCGTTGGAAACCAGGATATCCCATGGCCTTGGTACAACACAAAAAAAATGTTGTCTGCAGGGAAATGGCCAGAGAACCTCTCGCTGTCTCATTTCACCACTCATCCTCACTTTGATCAGATGTCCTACTCCTGACTTAGCCTGAGGCAAACAACTTCAAATGAACGAAGAGACAGCAAGTGGGGAAATGGGGGAGCAGGGATTGGCACCATCACCTCCCAACATCAGCTGAAGAAGGTTTTGAGAGCTGAAGGAAGTGGTAGCAGAGATAGCAAGGAGTAGGAGGAAGAAAGGAAAGGAACCCCCCAGCACTTTCCCAGTACCTGGAAAACATCTGGGCTGCTGGCTGCAGGTGAGAGCTGCACAGACTGACGACGAGACTGAGCAGAATAATCCGAGTCCAATTCAAAATCAAAGGGATGGACAGACAGCAGGCGCTTTGTCTTGCACATCTTAGTGTAGAAAGTGCAAGAAAGGAAAATTCAGCATAAAACACAGTTGACCTTGAGTAAAGGGGGAGGGAGGCCCTTGTTTCCTTAGTTTGCATGAGTTTGCTCTGCTTTTTGCAGAAACAATTTGGGTCTGACACTGTCCTGCTTGAAGGGAGCCATGTAGTGGCTCATGCTGGAAGCAAGGAAAAGTGGGTTCCTGATTTCCACAGCCTCTGCCTTGGGACTGCTGCCATAAGCAGATAGTGAGAAGCTCTCTCTTGGTTTATAAAGGCACTGTGGGAAAGCTGAGCCAGGTTGCAGCTCAGAGAGATCTAGATGATGCTTTGGAGTCCAAAAATATCTCCCCATCTTCAGAGAAAGGATTCTGCAGGCAGATCTTTCTGGATAATTGAGAAATCATCAGTAAAAAAACAGGTGAGTTCTCATTATACAGATGTGAGCTGGGACTTTTATATTAATTGGGGACATCCTTAGTGTCAGGACTTGGCCCTTTTCCCAGAGGACAAGCATTTGTGATTTTATGGACTTGTTTCTTTCTACATAAACTGGGAAAGAGCCTTATCTTGGAGAAGGAAAACAGAGAGAAAGGTTCAGTTTTGAACATGGCACAGACCACCACCACCACCACCCAAGACAGGCCAGCAGCAGCTGAGGGCACAGAGTGAGGCAGTAGGAGCCCCAGAATTAAATACTTACTCTGCTGTAGCACTCTGCTTCAGCTCCACGAAGGGCATTGGCTTCATCATTGCTGTCATCCCCAGCGTCACAGCTGGTGAGCAGCTGGCACTCACCTGGAGGCGAGACAACAGCAGTAGGTAAGTTGCCACCATGGTGGCCACACCAATGTACCTGCAGGCTTCTTACATGCTTCTTACATGGGGTGAAAAGGTCCAGATTAAAAATGCCTCCCCAAATTTTTTTTTCTGCAGACACCCACTCTTAGCACTTGATCTTGCACAAGCTTATCTGGCCTCTCATTGCTTTCCCTTCCAGCTGTGCATCATCATAGATGTGGAAGTGGAGGTATACCTTCAGGAAGATGAAGGGCATCTGCATCACAGAGAACACCCCAAGGTTTACCTGTGTGACTCCAGTGTTTGAAGGCACCATAGCTCAGCCCAACATGGCTCTGCTTCTGCTATTCCTGGTTCCCATCAGCCAGTGCTACTATTTATCAGTGATTTCTGGATGCCTATCTCTCCACTGCCAAGCCCAGCTGTACATTGAGAACAGCACAAATGCCAGACCAATTCCAAAGTCAAGGTATGCAAAATGCTCTTTCCTACATCAAATGGCAATGTGTAGTGAGTCTTTCCTGCAAGAGCTCCTAAGGAGCGCAACCTGAAGTTCCAAATTCCATGAATTCCTTAGGAATGTGGCCAGTTTTAAGCATAAGACATAGGTGTACATTGAGATGATGAGTGCTTGCAAGCTTCGAGTTGGGCATGTAACCAAAAGCTTCCTTGTATCCAGGTCTACCCTTGGAGAGCCCCAGATGCACCACAGTGCAAGAGCTGAGCACTACAGTTCACCTCCACTGCAGTGAAGGAATGTTCTCTCTGGTCCAGCCACATCAAATGTCTCCAGAGTGCCCATAGCCAGAGGGTGTGAAGGGACATTGGAAACCTCACTTGAGCTGCAAGCCCCATACTGCAATCTTCTCTTTTACTTACTGTTAATGTCTGGCAGGCTGTAAACTCTGTCATGAAGACCTAAATGAAAAGCAAAATGATGGGAGAAATAAATAATCACATTTTTCTCCAGGTACCACACACAGATAAGACTCAGAGCCATGGCTAACTGGAGTTCTCATTCTCTAGCCATCATAAGAAACAATCATCAAAAAGGTTCTTTAGAGAGAACAAAACAGGCACTTAAAGATGGGACTTGACTTTTAAAAGTCAATGAGCTGATTATCACCACTTCCCCAGTCCTGATGCAACACGCCTGGGAGTGTGGCAGGAGGGAAAGGCACAGCCAACTGCAGATAGCCACACCAAACATGATGGCCTCACACCGTTTCTCCTGCAACCAGAGATACACTCCGGGAGGAGATTCTTGTTCGCTCAACGGTCAAGCCAATTCACTGGTGTTAATGAAGCAATAAACAACAAAATAATTTCTTTCTGAAAAAGGGAACAGAATCTCAATTTAAAGCTGCCTGAAGCACTGTTATCTTCCTGTCTGGTTTGGTTTCCTCTTGGATTGTCCTTTTTGTGTGCTCTGATGCATTTTTGGACTAAACAATGCATGAATCGTCTCTCAGTCCATTAATTTTATATTCAATGCCGCTACCCTCATGCTTTTTTCTGCTACTTCTGCTGTGAGTGGCTTGGATAAAAGAGTGATTGGACCACTCAAATCAGGTCATATCAATGGTATTTGTGCAAACTTTTCTGTGGCTCCTCAAAGTGAGGATAAATCTGCATTTGCTTCCAAAGGCAATAGGCAAAGGAGTGCAGGAGCTGTATGAATGGCAACCAGCAGCTGGTCAGTAAATAACACAGTATTAATATCAGCTTTCAGCACTGTCAGACCAATATTAGAATTACTGAAGGTCTACAAAGCTGACAAGGGAATAGCTGTGGTGACAGGTAACTCACTAATTTCAATATGGCTTTGTCAGTGTCAGGGTGTCATTGGATTGACTGTAAAAATAATTAGGTGATGGCATAAAAACAAAACAAAAAGAAGAGTGCAGAGTGCTGGCTTTATCCTTGCAGCTGGATGTTTGGTGCATCCCAGTGTGGTGTTGCACAGATGCTGCAGTGGCAGGAGAAACCCTGGCACTCCTCCTCACCTAGAAATGCAGAGTTGACTCCCTGCCCTGGCTGCAGCCTGCCATAGAGGGACTGCAGCACTTTGGCACTTCCAAATCTCTTGAAACGGGATCGCACGTGTTCATAGTACCATTCCAGGGAGCCAATCTTCACGATCCTGCCCAAAGAGAGGATGCACATACAGGTGAGCTGGTCCAGGCATAGTCATGGTAAGCAGACTCTCACCCAAAAACTGTATCTTAACAAAAACACGGCCTGTTTTCTAACCAGTGTAATTGGTTTCTAAATAGCATAAAGGGATGCTGAGTTTGGGCAATTCTTATGGAGCCTCACTCCCAAGGCTGACTTTGCCCCTCAGTCTCCATTGCAGGAGATCAGCAATGAGTGGCATTCCTTAGGGATCAGAATTGGGACTGGTGCTGTCCTCCATCTTTTTTAGTGACATGGACAGTGGGACTGGGTTGCATCCTCAGTTAATGTGCTGATGACACCAAGCTGTGTGGTGTGGTCAACATGCTAGAGGAAAGGGATGCCATATGGAGGGACAGGAATGGGCTGGAGAGGTGAGCTTGTGCAAGCCACATGAAGTTCAACAAGGCCAAGTGGAAGGTCCTGCACCTGGATCAGGCAATCGCAAGCACGAATACAGGCTGGAACATCTCTCCTATGAAGACAGGCCTAGAGAGTTGGGGGTGTTCAGTCTGGAGAAGAAAATACTCTAGGAAGACCTCAGAGCCCTTTCCTGTGCCTAAAGGCACTCCGAGAGAGCTGGAGTGGGACTTTGGACAAGGGTCTGGAGTGATAGGACAAGGAGTAATGTCTTCAGACTGACAGAAGGCAGAGCCAGATAGGATATTGGGAAGAAATTCTTGGCTGTGAATTCCTGGCACTGGCACAGGTTGCCCAGAGAAGCTGTGGCTGCCCCATCCCTGGAAGTGTTCAAGACCAGGTTGGACACAGCTTGGAGTCACCTAGTCTAGTGGAAGGTGTCCCTTGCCCATCACTGAGGGCTGGAACAAGATGGGCTTTAAGCTCCCTCCCAACCCAAACTGCTCTGTGGTTTCTTGAGAAGCAGTACCTGGAGAGGCGGCAGGGATCGCAGACCCAGCCTTGCTCCTTCTTGTTGTAGCGGCTGCAGTTCTTGCAGGTGTAGAAGTGGCAGTCCAGGCACTGCCGCTTGCTGTTTAGCAGGAACTTGAAGGGCTGGAGGCAGTGGACACAGTGAGTTTCATTGAGGTGGGATTGATTTGTCAGGAACTCTCTCTTGCTACTCTCCTGGTCAATCTTGCATTTCAGCTCCCTGCAGAAAACACCCCAAAACACAGGAACTTGTTTTTATCATTTCACGGTAAACTCTCACATGGAAAACTCCGTCATGCCTCAATCATTTCAGGAACGATTTTCCAGGGAACATTCTGAGTCCTGCAGCTTGTGGAAACAGCTGTAGGGCAAATCAAATAAATAACATATCACGAGTTAAATAAGCCGAACAAAGAAGTGGGCTCCAGTTTCAGGGAGGGGAATCTGCCACTGGTAAGTTTAATATTAGATTTCACAGAATCACAGAATATCCTGAGCTAGATGGACCCACAAGGATCATAGTAAAAAAAAAATATTTGATTGTGCCAAAACCTGTCCTGTTTGTTTCACAGGGCGTTAATCATAAATCCCAGGAATCTCGGGAGAGTGGCTCTTCTCAAAAACCTCTGGCTGCATCCCAACCTGACATAATCTTTGCGCCTGGACTCCAGAAGCAAATTAAAATCTTTCTGGAATTCTTAGTTAAAAAAACCCCCTCTGGCATTAAAACAGATTAAAAGGGGTTTTGATATAACCTTCAATGCTAAAATCAGCAGAGAACTTTAGTAACTGATGTGCAGTGAGGTTCTGGCTGTTCAGAGGACACGACAGGAGGAGATGCTCATGACAGTCCTGTGAAAAGGCAGTCAAGACAAGTGTTTTCCAAGAGCATCTTCTCCTGTCAATCCATCACTGCAGGCTTCCTTTGCTATCTGGACCTGGCTGCTAGAGCAGGTCCTTGTGCAAGATGGTGCCTGCATGAAGCTGAGCCCTCGGTGACAGCCCAGGCCAGCTGAAATGTCTGCCAAGCTGGTGGGGGCCCTCTGCACTGCCCAAACGCTTTCTGTTTGCTCTCTGTGCCACGCACCCCCTCAGGTATGTTTGCCTTTGGGGCCATGGCTCAGAGGCAATATTTGACTTGTAGGGAAGGCCCTAGAAGGTTGTTTTCTGTCAAGTTAGTATTAGGAAGCTGTGTTTTCCAGAGGAAAAGTCAGCTTGGGCCAAAACCCTCAAGCAATCAGGTCTGGAGACTGCTTCAGGATCACAGCATGGAGCATGAGGCTTTGGTGATGCTCCCAGGGTCCCCTGGCTGCTGGGGAGCCGGGATGACGCCAGGGTGTCCTTGGCAGGAGCCTTGCTGGCCAGGGGAGCAGTGGTGTGGCTGGCAGTGGGAATGACAAGCATGTCAATCAAGCTAATCTCTGCTTAACCAAATCAGTTTGCACATTAGAGATCAGCTCTTGGTTTTTTCCTGAGGAAGACTTTTCAGCCAGCTCGCTGCTGGCACACCAGACCATGTTTGCTGTCACACAGGAACGACACCGACCTGCATTAACAGAGGATCTGGGAGATGTAAAAGCCAATATAAAGGACCAAACTGTCCACCTGGTTTTTATAACCAGCCATTCACCTTCCTAGCAGTGTTTCAAACAACCCAGTGGAAATGTCCAGCAAGAAATTTAGGTGGCTACTAAAAACAAACTCTCAAATAGAAACCCTTTGGGTTGGTCTCAGTGCTCCTTTTCCACTCCTGTGCTAAGGTGGTTGCCAGCAGGATCCAATCTTTCACTGGAACTGCTTCTTCTGGTTCCCAGAGACCGGTCGGATCCCTTCACCTCTCCTCCCTCAGACTTGTCAAAGGAAGAACAAGTCTCAGCCAAACCAGTTTAAAACCTGCAGGACCCACATGCCTCTTGTCTCCTCTTGCTGGCAGGAGCCCAGTCCAGCCCCCTCTCTGCTCTGCTCACATCAGAATAAATAAATCAGCAGCTATGGGATGCCAACTGCAGCAGGGTCAGTCCTCCAGAGCTCCAGGAGAGACACAGGGGGCCATCCCTCCAAAACAAGGTTGCTGGCAGGGATGTTTATGGAAAGAATCAGAGAGAGTCCACCAAAAAATGGCCATTATTTTATTTTTTGGACAAAGCATGGCCCTTTTATGTCTGTGCACTTTCTGACCAGCTGAAGCCTTTGTCCGTTGTTGGTGAATAGCTTCTGCCAAAACCAAAATATAGAGGAGCAGCAAAGAGGGAAGAAAGAGACCATGCTGGGAGGGGGAACATTTCTTCGAGGCTTGCAGGTTGAGACAAGCCCAGTGAATAGAAAAGCAAATGAATAGCAAAGAAAATGGGGCTGGTCAGAGCACAGGGAGCTGGGTGAATGGATGCCAGGGGTCCATAATGTCACACCATGTCCCAGCTTGTTAGAGGCAGAAAATGCTCATGTAGCTCTGTGTCTGGCAAGCAGGAGTGGCAGACTTTCCCAAACTGGTGGTCTAGTCTAAGGCAGAAATTATTCAGAAATTACAGAAATTTCAGAATGCAATCAGAATGGTTAGCATCAGCTCTCTGCAGGGCAGGATTATAAAAATAAAACCCAGAGGAAATGAGATTTGCGAGGAAAGACAGCAGCTGGGTAGAAGAATCCCAAGACTTTCCCCCATCTTACACCTCCCACAACATGGCACTCAGATTGGGAACTTCCTGAGCATCAGAGTGGATCCAGATAAGCCAGTCTGGCGCCAAGGTCAAGTAGGGAAGGAATCCACCTCACCCAACAGTTTGCTGCAGGGCACAGCAATGTGGGTGCCTACCTCCTGCCTCCAGGCAGAGCTCAGATCCATCACAAGGGAGACATTAATCTTTTCCAGGGTGATAATTTTTTTAAATACCCTGTCTGACCTCCTTCCTGCACTTCAGTGCTACCAGCAGAGGAAGGCAGTAGATGATGATACTGAATTATCTCTGCCTCCCACGCAGGCTGGGTTTTCTTAGTCAAAAAAGTAATTAGAGGGTTGAAAAATATATGACTGAGAGCTTGTCATGGCTAATGGTGTAAATGGAGAAGACCCCAGGACAGCAAGCTTTTGGGGGATGCATGTAACCCAGGTAAAGAAGGATGACTGTCACCCCTCACCTTTCCCTTTGGATCTGATAGAAGAACTAATGAGCTCCTGGTTCCCAGCCATTGTTGTGGTATCAGCACCAGCCCTGGCTCGTAAAATTCAGAGCTAAGAGGGTCTGAGGGCTCAGCAGGAGTGTAGCACAGCCCAAACACAGCCTGGGTTTATGGACCATTCCCTTGGGATAACAATAAGAACTCTGACAGACCCTGAAGAGTGTCATTGCAGCTTCTTGAAATACATTCAGATGTTATTAAGTTCAATGCCTGACATAGTTAATGAACAAGATCTAAACCCACACAATTTCTCATGCTCAAAATTTAATCTAGTCTGACTGAACATTTTAAAAACAGCACTTTTGTCAAATTCCCTGTTCATAAGAACTTGGAAGTTCTTAGAAGTTGCTGCTCCAGTGATTTTTTTCAGTCTTT